CGGGGTTATTTTTTCGGCTCAGTTGAGCCTATTGCAAGTGGTCCTGTGCTTCTCTTAGTCTAAGTCTATAAAATGTTGAAAGCCTGACGAAGAATTATTGGGGTTCGGTGTTATGGAAGGACGAACTCAAAGCCCTGGATGCGGAGCTTTTGGAACTTTACGGTAAGGGGTTCTGACGCCCATCTCACATGCGGAGGGCTCTCGCCAGAACATATCTGTGGTCTCTGGCCAGCCGGAACTTTGTCAAGATGCCTTCATTGATTCCGCAATGTGTAAGCGGGTGCAACATGCATGCTTGAAGTCCAAGCTTGAAGCCTGTAGAGCAGCAGAAGGGTATTTTGCAATAAAGAAAATGTTCATGATCCTCAAGATACATAAATGCCTCGGGCATTTTGGCCTTTTTCTTTCCATGGCAACAACCCTTTAGCGCGAGCTTTCCCCTTACCTTCTGGCGGGAGATTTCCCCTTAATCCCTTCCCCCTAATANNCCCCCCCCCCCCCCAGTGTATATACTCCAACCCGTATCATTTAACATGGGCGAGAGGAAGGTATTTATTGTGGGGCCGAAATATTAGAGGGTGGATTCACTAGAGTAAAATCGTGTAAAATTCAAGAAATCGAAGAAAGAATACATCTAATAAGGGATTATTCCAAATTAGGGCCTCAGTAGGGACTTTTTCAAATGAAGGCCTTATCAGGGACTATCTTTAATCAGAGTCTTCTTAGGTACTATTTCAAATCAGGGCCTTAGGGAATATTCTTCATTAGGGACTATTCCAAACTTAGGGCCAATCAGGGACTGTTCCAAATTAGGGCCTTGGAATCTGCTTCTGGATTTTTTGTAGCCGCAATTAAGTATTGTCTTGGCCCTTTTAAACACAGTCTTGGGGGCAGATTTCAGAATTTGGAATTCTGGCGAACTGGAAGGGTTTAATATTCAGATATTAGGGGGACCGGACTCAATACAACCTGGCAATTCCCGCGTAAGATCTGCGACCTCAAACTGTGCATTGGCACGTATGAAGCCAGACTCAAGACCTGATCCATGCCCTCATTCATGTTTTTTTAGAGACTGAGGCTTTACGGCTTGGGCTGTGGCTAGCATTGCAGGGCTTGCAAAACACGTGCCCTTCCACTTTAATATGTATGTGTGAGCGACAGTTTTGGCCAACTTCATCTTGCATCGATGAGTAAGCGCACGTGAGAACTCTTTCAATGCTGCACCTGTTTTTGGCTTTCATTGACGTGCGCGCATGTATGAAAACTAGTGGGAAAACATGTGTCTTATATCTGTAGGCTTGCGGAACTATTCCAAGTATATAATACATCTCTGTGGCTGTTGATTTGGCAAGCGCGCGTAGAAAATCCAGTTGCGGTTCACGTGCGATCTTTTGTTGAACTCGGTGGCTCGCAAAGTCATTTCCCACAGAGATTTTCCAAATGCGCGTTCAATGTCCAACATGGTATTCCTGCATGGATGTCTGCCTACTGACTGAATATTGGAGGGCCTGCCCCAAGTCCGTCAAACAGCTCTTGATCAGATTGTTTTCCACATGCCGCTTCTGTCGCAAATGTCTACAAATAATTGATGTTTAAGCTTGGTGGACTCCGATCATGCATATTGACTACTTTCTCGGGTGGCCAACCCAGCGTCGCAAGAAATCAAAACCTTCCCTTCATGACGTTGTGTTTTGGCATATTGTGCTTGCAGCTGAGTCTTGCAAGCATTCGTTTGTGGTTGAAATGCAGGGGGCTAACAAAGCTGAAGAACCTGTGACACGCGGGTTGCACGAAACTCCACAGCCAAAACTATCCGAAACGAACGGAGGCAGATACACTTCTTGGGTGCAGCCACTGGGTCTTGGCATCGGGTTTCTTTTGCTTATTTGTTGATTGCTCCCTATAGGTTCCCCTCTCTCCGCGAGAAGCTGAGTCTCGCAAGCACAGCCGTTTATGCGTTGTTCAGCAGCTGTATGAATAAGGCCAATTAACAAAGCGCCCGCGGCTTCAGAATTTGCCAATGGTTCTCACCCACGCAAACGTACAGTATGCTGAATCTGAAGCCTGTTGTCTTTGCGGGTTTCTGGGCTTGCCCCTCAGAGGGTGCAGCAAGACATCTCGAATGCCTCACGAACATCCATGGTCGCAGTTTCAAGAAGCAACTTGCGTAATGCGAAGGAAGGTTGCTTGATTCCTCCACGGATATTGTTGTCTTGCGGAAAAACCGGCTGATTTCTTGTAAGTTCATGACTGCGTTGGTTGAAGCTCATTCCTGACGTCGCTTGCACGAAACAATCGCTCCATTCGATTCTGCATCGATCAATGCCTACCCGCAAAAGCAGCGCTTACAGCAAAGACGCGAATCTTGGGGGTAAATTTGACACATCCAACAGCACTGGAATGCCCACAGTCCCGCTTTAACTCGGAGAGTTCGTCCTAGTAGCTGGAGTATTTCGAAGAGATGCCTTGTCTGGCTTGAAAGGCTTTTGAAACAGCAGCAAAGACAGACAACAGACACGTTGCCCTCATGCCTTTCAGCCTGTGCTTGAGATCTGTTTCTTATCCGTTTTGGCCGAGCTTTTCCTTACAAGGCATCAGTGCCCAAAGGCTTGCACCATAGGGCCATAGGGAAACTACAAGCCTGGGACGACAAGCATCACATACTTTGGCTCTTCGCAAGGGTTCAAGAGCTTCCTGTCTGCTTGGACCATTCCGTCAACAACATATTTGCGACCACTTGTCTGATCATAACTTCCAAACGTGATTGCGTCAACCAGTTCTGGCACCCTTGGTCACAACTTATAATTGCGACCAAATCTTATTGACCCAGGCCTCCAGGCAAGTTTTGGACCCTCGGGCGTCGTCGCGTGTCAGTGTGAACAGTCAGTGTGGATGGGGGAAGGGGGCTCTGGGGGTCGCCATCCTCGCACCCTCCTGACCAGTGTCGATTATGGAGTGGAACCTGGACTGGAGTGGAGTGGAGAGTGGAGTGGAGAGTGGAGTGTGAGGTGTGGGCATTTGGAGGACAGCTGTCTCCGTTCGAGCACAAGATGGACGCCACAGGCGACACTTTGGCTAAGGCACGTTCTGCAAGATGTTCCGAAAATGTGGACCTGAGACGTTGCTATCCAGAGGTTCTGTGGTCGTGTTGTCGGATTGAACTCCTGGAAGGCTCCGTTTTTTCGTGCATTTTATGAGGAGAGGAGGAGCTCGCAGAGTCAAGCCAGAGAGCGCCTTTCTCGCAGAGGAGGACAGAGATGCGGAGCCGATGCGGAGCCTTGCTTTTGGCTGGCCGAGCTGTTCGTTTCGCCTTTCATCTGGGGGGTGCCATGGCTGCAGAGTCCGAGCCGGAGAATTGCGCGATAGGGAACCGGAGCCGTGCCATGCGGAGGCCTGGCCCGAGCCTCGAGCCTGGCCAGAGTCCAAGTTGAGCACCGTTGGCTGCAATGACAACTGCAGCAGCAGAGAAAGAAAGAGAAAGAAAGCTGTCCTTGCATTAAAGCAAACTGCTTGGGGCACGATCCAAGTTGGCACCCAACCGGTGGAATTGGCGCCCTTAGCCAGGCTGCAAGCTGCTGGAGCAAAATGCTGAAAAGCTGCTGAAAAGGAGCAATGCAATGCAATGCAAAAATGCTGCTTTTAAAGCAAATGTTTCTGCTCTCTTCTTTTCTTGGCAAACGAGCTCGGAGCTGTGAGGTTCTTGGCAAAGGTCCAACCCGATGGGTCTGTTTCCAACACCTGGCAGCTCAAGGAGAGAAGCTCTGAGTCTGCCAAGCTCTAACAAGTAGATTCTATGCCCATGCCCTAAAGGCCCTAAAGCGCGCAACACCAGCCTCAATGACATCGCCTTGCCGCACGGGAACCTGGAGATCTGCAGACTGAACGCAGCATCCACTGAGCACCTGGAGTCTAGGTGTCAGACCATTGTTGGGCCGGTGGCTTCAAAGTTGCCAACAGCTCGGCCAGTAAAGAGGACATCTCTCCGCCTTTCCAAATAACAGCTTGACGCAACAGAAATAGATCTGAGAGCTGTGGCGAAGACTGTTGTATCAGCGGCTGCGGAATCTGGCAGATGTCAAGCAATGACGTGCTGCCGAAAACAAAAACTTGAGTCGCGCACCATATATGCTCAAATGTTCAGACTCAAATCAGGTTTGTTGTAAAACTGCTGTAAAACCTCTTGATGTTGGATTTCCAGAATGTGGATGATTCTTCATCGTGTCCTGAAGAAATAATTCCAGCCACTGCAAGTCTATCTTTGGGGGAAGCACCTGATGCTGTGCTGCGGGCACCGCCGGCACCGCAGGCACCGCTGGCACAGCTGGCACCGCAGGCACCGCAGGCACCGCTGGCACAGCCCCACCTCAAGAGCTGCGAGCAGAAAATGCTTCCCTCAATGCTGAAGCACTCAGATTGCAGCCAAAGTCGTACTCAGACCTGGAACTTGGAGTTCTTCTACAAGCAGAAGCGCAGACATGCTGGCACCAGCCTTGTCTGCACTCTCGCCACCTTCCACAGAAAATGAGAGTCTGAAAAGCCTCATGGCCTCACTTGCCCCAAACCTCCGGATGCACAGGTGTTGGGGCCGCTGGCGCCAAAGGCGCCTCCTGCCCTTGCGGCTGCACCCGCGGCGCTGGCTGCGCTGTGGGTCTAACTCCTGATCCATGCAGATGTACTCATAGGGCACATCTTCCACCACATTCGTCCACTCTACAAGCTGTCCCGAGTTCTGCGTTGGTGCGCTCGGCGCACACGGCGCGCAGGGCGCTGGGCTGGGTGCCATGGCAGGTGCTGTTGCCATTGCCTGAGCGGGCACCTGAGAAGGCGCATTGCGCACTCTTTTTGCCTCTTTAGCTTTGCTCAAGAAAGCTCTGGGTGGCTCCGCTGTAGGCGCCGAAGTCTTGATGGCCACCTTCAACTCATCATTGTTCATCGATTGAAAGATGCGACCGTTCGACCGAAGTTCGACGGTTCGACTTTGAGCATTTTGAGCCTGCTTTGGTGCCGCTGGGCCCGGACCTGCCCACCCGCCCGCACGCTGCCCGCTCTGACTTGGTGTCACTAGTTCCTAGTCCGAAGTTCAGCACTTCAGCACCTGGCCTGTGCACGGTGCCTCAGAGTATACCGATGCAGGAAACATCCCTGCCATCTCAGTCTGAGATGTCTGAGGCTTCGACTGGGGGCGAGGCCCCTGCCAACTGCTTTGCCGGTGCGGGCGGGCACGGGGCCTTTAGCTGCAAGAATTATCTGGAACTTGGTTGATATGACGTCGAGCCTTCTCTACGATCTGGGGAGCCTCCTTAGGAGCTGAGGGGACCTGCAATGGGAAGGGCTGGGCAAGGGAAAACAGGGGAAAATCCTGATCTTCTGCCGCTCCTCCGCAGGATAGCCTGCTTCCGCAAGCGGAACATTCTTACACATGTCATAGTGCTTCTGGTAGTTGCAGTACCTGGGCCATGACGTTTCCAGCGCCCTCAGGACAAGGTAAGTCGCAGTCGCAGTCGCCGCGCACTCGCCCACCCAGTCACACCTGCCGTCGCTTCTCAGTTTCGGATTGTTCTGGCCTTGTGCAATGCTGCCACAATGCCGCTTTGTGACTTCGCTTTGCCGCTTTGCATCGCTTTTGCATGAGCTCGCGACAGACAATCCGCTTCTGCGACAGCATCCTCCACAGAAGGACATTTTGGCTCCTCTGTGCATTGCTGCACCTGAGCAAGAGAATGATTGAGTGACTGATCCAGTGACTTGCGTTTCGCAGCCAAGTGGCACTGGAGATAGGTCATGGTTTTCATTCAAGGACTTCTTGCAGACCTGAGCTGCAAAGCAAAGAGAGCACAAAGTCGACCTGCAAGAGCGCAAGAACAAGTGCAGCCACTCTGCAGCCCTCAGAGGCGCTCTGAGCAGCGAGCCGGGCATGGCACACATCGGTCCGGACCAGCGGCCTTTGCTCGCTGGGCCCAAGTCTGGGTGTCCGGGTGTTGATCAAACCTCCAATCAACGAATCAACTCTAAGTTCCCGGAAAGTTGCATTCGGATGACTCATTCTTAGGTCCGGGCCATTTGGCAATGCAATCTCCGCAGAAGATGTGAGAGCAGGTGGTCAGCTTTGGGACACACCTGCCATTCAACACACCTGAAAAGTAAGCTGCCTGGCAGCCTGGCACTCGCGTCCCCTTTCTGAGCATAACGCCCAACAACGTAAATCTGGCAGATCTTGCAGATAAACCTCCGAGTCGTGCAAAATCGTCTCAGGTTTTGACTGGACATGCAATGGCACATGCCATGAACGGGAGAGTCCAAAAAGGGCCGAACTCTGCGTCTTGTTCATGCACAAGCTGCTCCTCTGGCTAAGCCGATACGCTGCCACTGATTGGCACGTGAGCTCTGGCCTCCATGACCTTGACCTGGCAACAGGCTCAAGAAACCGACATGAAAAAGCTTCTCCACTACATACCATACCATACCATACCATACCATACCATATCATACCATACACACACACACACTCTCTGCCGAAATGGAGTGATGGAGTCAGCAAGCTTCCCGGGCAGTTTAAGCAGTCTAGGTCTTGAACAGGAATGCGCTGTGTCATGCACGAGATTCTGTGTTTTTGGCAAGATCGCGCGAAAGCCATACACAAACCCTTCGAAGCATACGACGGATGCAAGGCAAGTTGACAAGTTGAAGGTGGATGCAAGAGGAATCGGTATCAGCAATTGGTCAGCCTCCAGGGGCTGCTGCGGCAGCTACGCCTCTTCTCCTTTAGCTTTTGCCACATATCGCCACATGTTGACAAGCCTTTCCTGATGACCCGGGTGTGTGAGTCACGAGGACTAGAAATGAAAGCAAGGTCAGGACGCAACTGTGGGCATGGACGTAATTAACGTGGGCAGGACAAAAAAAACACATGGTTCCCTGGCAACCATTAACGTGAAGCCTCGCCTCATCCGGCTCGAGCTGCTTGACCTCGACGGGCCCTGCCAGGCTTTCTAAAGAGGTTTGGATTATTGCTCTGAGCCAAGGTGGATCTCGTCTCGATCAAAATGCGAGCAAGGCCATGGTGGCCGTTGTCGATGATCGTCTTGCCCACCTCGGCGAAACCAATCTGCGCGTTTCGGTATCCCAATTCACACAACTCTCAGCTTGGGCTCCAGCAATGCTGGACTTGCTCACAATGCCTGACTGGTGTGGCATCCACGCAAGCTCAAAGGCAGCCAGCAGCGAATGCACAGGCCTGCACCCTGAACCTGGCAGCGAAAAACCATGGTTGAAAAGGATCAATGACCAATTTACATGTTGATCCGCAGCATGCAGCTGCCTTCTTCTCGGCCTTGGCTTTGGCCTTCTTGTCCTCTGGTATCATACGGTATACCAAGCAATGGGTTATCGTCTTATGCTGCCTCTTTCTTCTTTTTGTCTTTCTCCTTCTGCTTCTTGTGAGTTTCCTGAGGCGTCTTCGGGCTGACAGGCTGCAGGCTGTCAGCGAGAATGTCATGTCGGATGTTTTCGGACACCGTCCATGTCCTCCTTGCTTCCTGCTGGAGAGTCATCTTTGGAATCGGGGTTTTCGGTCCTCGCGGTACCAACAGTAGGTATCTTCTTACAAAGTCGCGGCTGTAGCCCATATAAGGCTTGACAAGCGTAGGGATTCAGAAATTCATCAGCTCGTGGAACCTGTGCCAAAATCCGACAGGCTGGGAAGATGCCTTGCTTCAAAAGCCGCAAATCGCGGGTCCTCGGGGGAGCGACCTTTTCCTCGAATTCCGTGAGGTCCTGCAAGGTCAAAGTCCTCCACGCAGCCTAACACAGCCTAGCCCGGGAGCAGAGGGGCAGGCGAAATACTCGTACAACGTCTCGTCGTGAACTCCATCGGAGTCCTGCCAGCCATTCAAAAGCCCCGTGTCTCGCAGCTTTGCCAGCTTTGTAAGCAAGTGGGTCCTCACCAGCTTCGACATAGTAGTCGATGCTCTCTCTCACAACCTGCACATGGCATTGGGTGACAGATTTGATGGACAACAGTTTTGTTGCGTGCTGGCTGCTGAAACACGGGGTGCTGGGTCTGCGTGATGCCGCCCGGCAACCGCTAAATCGCTGATATCGACTGCATCGTTGTTCACAGCCTTATGATGCCAAGAGAGCAACTGTGTAATACACTACTGAAACTTGCAAAGCAATTTGTGGTCTGTCACAGTGCCATGTGGCTCTCAGCAGCTGCTCAAGCTTCTTGATGTGCCATCGAGTCCTGTGATTCCATGGTCCACAGCTACCACAGCATCCCACCAATGCCCAGGCATCCCAGGCATCCCATCCTTTCAATGGCCGTCTGGAGCTTGGGCAATCTGGATTTGTCGTCGCTGTTCAGGGACCTGGCAGCCGGACGTCTAATGTCCTTCGCTTGTCAAGATTCAAGCCGGCAGGACCTCTTTCCCTGCAGGAACTCTAAGTCAGCCTCATGGAAGGTAGCCGCTAGCATTCAATCCAGAAGCCATCAGGAGCAAGGCTTTGCCTCGAATTGGTCCAGCTGGTCTTTGAGGGTTTGGATGGTATGCGCCAACCTCGATCATGGAAATCTCCACATCTGAGACTAAAAAGCAGCCTCAACCGGGCGTGAGGCCACTCCTGTGACTTGACTTTCTCAGCTTCTTCTAGGTCCAGCTCGTCCAGCTTGGCCTTGGCAGATTGTGCACACGAGGTGCACATGTGCACCCGCAGCGCAGCTCTGAAAGGTCACGAGGTCATGACCAAGCCAGTGTATGAGAAGGCCTTGGTCTTGAACTCTCGTTCAAAGTCCTGTCGTAAATCCCAGCGATGCTCACTTGACAAGCATGCATTACTTGGCACCTTGAACCTCGCCATGTCACTTTCTATTCGCTTTCTGCCCTGGCATCACACGCACATGTGCTCAGAGCATCTCAGAGCAAATGACTTGACGAATGGGCCTCTTCCAGTTTGTCTTTCAGAGGCGCTGGGACTTGGGGCGATCCCTGCAATCTTGACCGTCTAGCAGTCTGGCACCGCAGGGCAAAGCACACTGGTGGCTACTTAGGAGCTCACAAGCCAGTCTCTCATCTGCGATCTGAGTCTCTGCAGCTTGTTGATGCACCTGGACATCGTTCATGGTTGATTGCAATGAGCTTCCTTTTTTCAATCAACGGCACATGAACCTGCCCGAATGCTAAGATCACCACTTCTTCAACTCCTCACCCAATCTTTCTTTTTGGGGCCCTTGCGCTGTGGCAATCTGGTCCCAAAACCTGGGATGCTTTGAGCATCGGATCTCAAAGTACGTTGGCCGCAGAAAGTGCCAAGATACTCTGCAAACTCTTCAGTTCCTTCGTGGGCCTTCTTTAGGACCTAACACAGGACTGGCAATCTGATGACTTGCTCGGAACCAGGATACCGCAGTGAGCAAACTCTCAGGCTGCAACCACCTCTATGTCCTGTCAGGACTGAAGGAACGAGACGGCTCACTTCACCGAAATCCCGGGGCACTGGCTCTTTGAAGCTTCCGAGCAGCAGGAGCCGCCATGACGATGTGGAGGCAGCCACTGGGGATCTATAAACACCTTCTCAAAGATTGCAGCTTGCGAAAGGCAGGAAGGCAACTGAAATCTGAGCAATGCGCAAAGAAGCAAGCCTGGGCCTGCACGCAACCATCTGCAAAACCCTGTCCCCTGGCTGAGAACCTTTTGTACAGTAAGTCCCGAGCGACGTGTGCGGGCCGGATCAGCAGCCCATGTGCGTCAATCACAATTGTTTCACGCTGCCAGCCCAAGATGCCAATCGCATGCACATCTACACAAAAAAATCAACACTTCCCTCATGTTGACAGCCCACAAATGAATGCACGTAGTTGCTACGGCGCAAAAAATCATGAAACAGTGCTAAAAACCATGCAACATTTTGCGGCATTCAACTACGACAGTTTTAACTGCAATCATCATGTCCAAGTCCAAACCAAAATCATTTCATTGGGAACGAACAGAACTGAACCTTGCCTATGCTGCATCAAATTAATTACCAGGTTTGTCGGGTTTACGCATTTGAGGGTCAACAATGTATGCGCAGTCAATATGATTCATAGCTTTTCTGCAACATCTTTGCAGCAGACGTCCGATTGCGTTCAGTGTGTGTTTACGGAGGCGTTATTTGTAGGTAAGCCTTTTTGTTGTTTAACACCACTTAACCTTTGTTGAGATTTTTTTCCAACAATCCCGAAGCGTCTTTGGTGACCTGATCACGGCGGATGAACACACAACGGCGATGATATGGGGCGGATGCTAATCATGGCTGTTGCCCCATCTTGACTGCGGTGACTACTGCGGCGACTACGATGACGACGGCAATGATGTTGCAAGTGAGGAACATGATGAAGATCGCAAATGCAAGTAAAGAATGCAAAGACACAAGTTGTCATACATGACAGGTCATGATGACAAATGCTGACGGTCACGCTGAGTCTAAAGCTGATAGATGCCGCTGGCTACGATTCTGGCGAGTAGACGCGGGGAACACCTTCGGCAATAGATGGCAATGGCAGAAATGATTCCAGGAACCAGGGGCAACGTGATAGAAATTGCGACAAGGCTGAAGACGAAGGAAGGCAACTATGACGACGGTGAGCCTATGCAAGCATGATGACGATGATGGCGCCGGCAGCCAGAAAGACAACAGTGAAACGTGGCTGATTAGGTGTCCCAGTGGATGTCCGCAGGGACTTGTGCCGTACCAGGAAATCTCTTCCATCGGATGAAACACTGCGGCATCTTTCGATAAGGTTGCTTATGCCCACAGAAACTGTAATCATCATTGCACTGAAGAATTTCTATAACAGCGCAAAGCAGTAAACCCATGAAGCCCTAAGCCCATGTGAGCTGAAAAAATCCGAAAGGGGGTTCACTTGTGACTTCTCCCAAAATTCACTTGTGACTTCTCGAGAGGAGGGTCACTTGTGACTTCTCTCGGGGTTCACTTGCGACTTCTCA